TTCACTGCAAAGCATTCTTATTAATCTGACAGTAAATACTATTAGGAGTCTTCTTTTGAAATATTTTAGTCTTTGCTGTACTTTTTCAGACCATGTCTTTTAAATGTTTTTAAAAAAGTGAATTGTATGTTTGTTATTTGACAATACAGGACACGAACTCAAAGCTTTCTGTAATTTCTCTCTATTCGGAAATAAGAACTGTTAAAAAAATTTAATAATTATACCCCCCGCAAACGAAGTTTGGGGGGGTATATAGGAATCACCTTGTCCGTCTGTCTGTCTGTCCGTCTGTCCAGCTGTCTGTCTGTCCGTCTGTCCATCTGTCTGTGCAATTGTGTCCGGTCCATATCTTTCTTACAGAGGGACATTAGAATCTACTACTCCACACTAAGATTGCTCATAACCTAAGGGTGTGTCATGACCTTGACCAAAGGTCATTTGGGGAAGTTCAAGGTCACTGGGAGAAAAATTTCAAAATTCATGTTTGACACATATCTTTTATGGATAAACTTGGTAGGTTCTCAGTTCATACAAAGATTGCCCATGACCCAAGGGTGTGTCATGACCTTGACCCAAGGTCATTTGGGGAAGTTCAAGGTTACTGGAAGAAAAATTTCATAATTCGTGTCCGGTCTATATCTTTCTTTTGGATAAACTTGGTAGGTTTTCATTTCACATTAAGATTGCCCATGACCCAAGGGTGTGTCATGACATTGACCCCAGGTCATTTGGAGAAGTTCAAGGTCACTGGTAGAAAAATTTAATAATTCGTGTCCGGTCCATATCTTTCTTAAGGATAAACTTGGTAGGTTTTCATTTCACACAAAGATTGCCCATGACCTATGGGTGTGTCATGACCTTGACCCAAGGTCATTTGGGAAGTTCAAGGTCACTGGAAGAAAAATTTTATAAGTCGTGTTTGATACATATCTTTATTATGCAAAAACTTACTTCTGAAAAACCCAGCGGGGGGTATTTTGTCCCAATTGGACAGTTCTAGTTTTAGTGTAAATACAAGCATAGTAGAATTAAGATTTAATTTATCCATTATTCGTTGTTACAGGACAATTCTATTTATCATGCCAACACCCAGAAGTGTATGGAGGTCAGCGTGGACGGACAGAAGCTGACCATGAAGACCTGTACTGGCATTGACCGACAGATCTGGCTGTGGAAAAGGAAATCCCCTAGTGGTATAGTCAGAAACTAGGGGCGGACAACTCTTATGTCTGCTGGGCAGACAACAACTGAGTGGAGAGTTACTATTACACAGTTACCCACCTTACCAATGAAAGAGGACTGTCAAAATATAATGACAAGGGGGAGTTAACTTTGCATCATACTGCTTAATTTCATGTGTGATAAACTTAATGTTTAAAAAAGTATTTTTCTATGCAATGCAGACATTATTTTTTTAATATAGTGGAGACAATGTTGCTTTGTTAGATCTGTGATTTTGTTGTTTTAACCGAATGGAGAACACTGAAATGTTATGATGTTGCCGATAGTATTGCAGTGTGGGTCACAGTATGTTATTGTAAGCCATGTTACAGTATGTTGTAAGCTATGTCATTTTAAATGACTGTGCATAGTTGTTATTAAATTGTGTTCTATAAAAAAGGGAAAAGCTAAAAAAGAGACATTTATTTACTGAGGTGTAAAACAGGTATTGTAATCATATTTATACAAGATAAGCCAGGCTTAATTATATATCGTAATTTTGTACTTTAAGTATGTATCTGAGTTTTCTACTTTTTTTTCTTTAATTTTTTTTTCTTTAAAAGCATGGCAGATTTGAATTCCAACAGAATCTTGTTTTTAGGAATATGTTCAATCATTTTAAAAAATACTGATTTTTTTTTTTTGTAAATAATAGTTGATAAGGTATGTTTGTTATCATATAGATGTGGCAAATAGATTTTGCCTTTTGGCAATTAGTCACATTTAACAGGTAGCTTTAGAGAAACAACATGTACATAAGAACAGATCATTTTATTAAATGTTTCCTTTTTTCTCCAAATTTTGCAGATTTTCAAAACACAAATTTCAGCTTTATTGTATTGAACGTCAATGGAGAGACATTGGTGCTAAAGTTATTGACTTGTTAAGTTTTGCAGTTGCCATGTATATGTATTTCAAAACATTCCTATTGGTGTATTGTTGCTCAGACTTTTACATACGCAGTAAGCTTTTAGTATTACGCATGTTCTGTTAATAGAATGATAGTGTGTCATATGTGATGTGTTTTCATCAAGGTTGATGATTGCATAACTGGTATAGCTGGATTACTGTACAAAAATATTTGCCAAATGCTTTTGACCATTGTATTCTGTGATGTAAAAATTTCCATACATTATTCATTGCACAAATTCTCACAGTAGATTACCAAACTTATTTTTTGTTTCATTCCTGAATTCTAGCAAATTTTAACATGATTTACAATAACAGTTGAAAATAAAGCACGAGCCTTTGTGTTTAAATCAATAAGCTGTTATATGATTGATCAGATCAAATGATATCACTCTGATCAATCACATAACAGATTATTGACAGATACGATTTAAGGTTCATCGATACTCTGATAAGAGAGATAACTCTTAATGAAATTTATGGCTTTAATTCCTTCATAAATTTGTCAAGTTGAAATATCCATTTTGTCCAATTTTGCTATGCACACTATGCTGTGTATTTTGCTTAAAAAAGACTTCTTTTAGAAAAAAAAAATAAGCGTTAAATCAACATTTTATATCAGTGAGCAGAGGGTTTATGAACCTTAAGCAATATATCCACCTAATACTTGTACAAGTCTGTAGTTATCATAAGGAAGCCACATGTGTAAATTTTCATGTTTTCAATGACTGATTTCCATTTGTGAGACTTGTTTTATGTTTACCAAATCTCTGTATATCTCAGTATTTTACATTATCCCATACATACCGGTAATTTCAAGGGACACAATTTATGTTTTGCACAACTGACGTTTAATGTATTACGAAGTTTTATTTTTCAATCCTACAAATTTCAAAGTCGTGAAAAGTCAAAAGTTTGTTTTGTTTTTTGGGAAATATTTATTCATTTTACAGATTTTTTATTCACATATATTATTATGGTCCACAAATTTAATACAGTTGATGTTTCATGTAAGTAATATAACTTCACCAAGAAGTGTATGGATCCTTCATACAAAGAAAAAAGAGTTCTTTTTTCAGAAGTATTTAAACTCAAACTGACTGGAGCAGTATTAGAAATATTACAAGTTTATACTTCAGGATACAAAAATGTTTCCATCCTATGAAAGCGCATTCCATGTCGAACATTTTACTTAATTTCCGTGTTCTATATATTTGTTGATGTTCATGCTTCAATGTATCATACTGTTATTTTATGAACATTTTATTAGTATAATTTGTTGCACAGAAATATATATAATATATAAATATATATGTGTGTATGTCTATTTGATTATTTTTCTCTTTAATCAGTGACAATGAAATCCATGATGTTGTATTATTACGAGACACATTGTTCCCAAGTGGGGAGAATGTCTTACATATGTTTGTATACTTATAATCATGTCAAAGTTTTCATATAGGACAGTCCTCATTGTTCATGCCTGTAGAGTATTGTGATTTATAAAGAATGAGGGCAAATGTCCACTTAGTTTGGGCTGACCTTCTCTATGAATCTGTGGTCAGTGTCACAGTCAACAATTTTCATCTGGTCAGCCATATTTTTTTCTTTTTACTATCAACTTGTAATGAATTTTCTTTACCTTGTTTTTTTTATTTTACAATATAACATACCTGTAATAAACTTATCAACACTGAGTATTTTTCTTACTTACACTTAGTATTAATGATGTTAAAAGTTATTATTGTTTTCTGGTCATTATGACTTAATTTAGTGGGACAGTATTTTGAATCTATATAATATTTATTTAATTATGCTTAAATATGGCATACATTTTTTTTCTTCAAACATACTATATATATTTTTCATCTTCTATATTGTATACTAGATCAAAATTGTGGGAAACTAACTGGTTTACTTATAATTAAAAATGTTTGCTTTAATTAAGTTATATTTTACTTCACAGTTTGTAGAAATATTATTTATCAATTTCATAATTCTAACAAATGGAATATTTCATTGTTCTTTAAATACAGAATTGTTGCCTGTGTGCAATGCTATATCCAATTCTTTAAGGCTGGTTGTCATTCATTTCAGACTCTGTTTTCATATATGGTACATGTATAATATAAACTGGTGGTGTATGAATAGAAGTAACGGCTGGTCACCAGCTAAGTGTGCCTTAATAAACCAAACAAACCTTAGCAATTCTCATGTTCTTTCTCATGTAATACAGGAATGGGTTTTATTTTGTAACATTATGAAACACAAATGAGGATTCCAAATTGTTGCTCTACTCTGTTGTTTAAAAGTGGAACTAAATTGTACATCTTCATGTTTGTACATGTAGAGTGGCAAAAATAAGCCCCATAACCATTTTTAGGTCACATGCGAGTCACTCAGGTGACATATTGCTATCTATTTTCACTTATCGTTGTGCTGGCATGCCATGCATAAACTTTTCACATTTTTAAATTCTTCCACTAGAAGCAATATGGCTGACCAGAAATCTTTCTCATCTGTAATCGGAAAATTTCTTAAAAAAAAAAAAAAACGATTATAAGAAATGATTCCTAATAATTATTCTAGTAATGATCAAGGGTTTATTAAATTGATTCCATATTACTTATTAGACTTCGTACATAAATACATTTCCTTAGACTGTTAAAAATATTTTTTATTTAAAAATTGGCAATCTTCGTAAATAAGGAGCTATTTGATTGGTCAGATTTTAAAATTTTTCCTTGCTTTTCTCTGATTGGTTAACGGTAATTTACCCACGCCATTTTGAAAAATAGATCGACGAACCGAATTGAGAGAGTTGGTGATGTTTATAGAAAATTTAGCTAATATTCGCCGATGAAATTGGTAGAAAATAGATGTTTAGCTACAGCATGTTAGCATGGATCACATTTATAAACAAAGAAAAGCGAAAACGGAAGGAGGTTGGCGTTTTTCAAGCATCATGCCCTGGCTTTCCTGGTGTAAACAACGCCATATGCGGTAAGAATTTACATAAAATAGCACAGTAGTTTCAATTTTTAAAATGTGAAATGTAGATTAATTAATGTTATCTTTTATAACCAATTCATATTAGGTCAAATTAAATGCAGATATATTGGATTTGTGGCGAAAGAGAGTTTTGTTATGCTACTTTCTATCTTGAATGTATGGATAATTACGGGCTTTCAATGGCAAATGATATTATTTACATTGACCAAAAATGATTTAAAAATTAATTTCACCCTATCCCTCAGGCTTAAACATGGAATAATAACAAATAAAATCATCTTGGCATACAACCATTTAAATAAAGGGTGGGGGGGGTGTAATCATTGCAACTAAGCTTCATGGATTTATGGTTTAGCATACTTATAATTTATTTCAAAAATGACTTGAAAAGAAGGTGGTAAGAAAGATTTTTTTTTTTGGCACAAACTAATTATTTTTTATATCAATATATGATGATCCGTATTTCCCTTGCCCAATATCAGTTTAAGATTTCAAATCAAATGACCCCCCCCCCCAATAAAAGGGGGGGATAATGGCTCAATTTGTAGAATATTTTGCCATGAAAAATTTCAATGAGGTGTATTGACAGTTTTATATTTTCATTTTTTAATGCTCTGTATTTCTACCTGTTCTGCAAAACATTTATCAGTATCATTACTTTTACAGTTTGAGTGCCTCTGCAGAGCCAAAGAAGAAAAGCTGATTAGTTATAGAGAAATAGGACACCCACCCACCCTCCCTACCCCTTGAAGCATTACAGGTGTGTAACATTGGCAATACCAGCTAATCATGTGAAGATTTCTGTTTGTGTGTGTCTGTGCATCTAATTTTGATATACCCCGGTACATTTTGATATTCTATTTTGTAGATTATGCAGGACCAAGCAGGATGACAGTGAGAAAACTGGAGATGTACTTCTTCAACAAAGTAAAGTGCTGTGCAAAAGAAACCCCAAAGCAGAGAGAAGATCGAGACTTTTGAATTCATATCTCATTATAAATGTACAATTTACAAAGACAATAAGATTGATAAAACGTGACTTAGAAAAGGACAATTGAAGAGTGAATACTGTATGTAAGACAGAAAAGATCAAGATTATTGCACAAAAAGTAACTAAATCAGTAATCTAAAGCCATTTCTCTTTAAAATCTGATTGAAAGCAGCATTTAAGAACAAGTTTTTCACGTTTTTAGTACTTTTCTAGGCACTGCTTTGTATTATTTAAAGCTTTTTTATGTACTTTTTGTCTATCATTCTTGTACCTTTTTTGAACTCCTAAATGTATTTTTTTTGTATTTTTCAGAATGTATTATTTTTAAATTTTTTGTTTTACGTGCGATTTTAATACAGAAATAATAGACTGATACAAAATTAATACATTTTGTATTATTTTCCTATTTTTTTTTCAAGGTGCTCCAAATAATACAGAAATAATAGACTGATACAAAATTAATACATTTTGTATTATTTTCCTATTTTTTTTTTCAAGATTCTCCATATAATACAGAAATAATAGACTGATACAAAATTGATACATTTTGTATTATTTTCCTTTTTTTTTTCAAGGTGCTCCAAATAATACAGAATTAATAGACTGATACAAAATTAATACATTTTGTATTATTTTCCTATTTTTTTTTCAAGGTGCTCCAAATAATACAGAAATAATAGACTGATACAAAATTAATACATTTTGTATTATTTTCCTATTTTTTTTTTTCAAGGTGCTCCAAATAATACAGAAATAATAGACTGATACAAAATTAATACATTTTGTATTATTTTTGTATTTTTTAGTTCTTCTCTAAATTGTATTATTTTTGTACTTTGGATAAGGATTTAATACAGAAAAAATACAAGAGTACAGAAAAAATACATCAAGTGTATTATTTTTGTATTTTTACTAAGAAATAAAGTATATTAAAAATATATTTTTTTGTGTTTCATTTCTAAGAAAGTGTATTATTTTTGACCTAATTTGGAACCAAGATAAAAAGGGTTCCAAATTTGGTCATTAAAAATATACTTTTTTTGTATTATTTTTGTATTATTTTAATCTATTATTTTCATATTTATTTTCGATATGGGTTAAGCCAATTTCACTCAAACTAGACATAAAGTATCCTTGGCTGAAGGGAATGTAGTTTGGTTGAAACGAAGGGCAGTGCCCTTAGATGATATCACATTTGTATTGAAGCATTCAAGAAATGTAGAATTATGTTGATCAATCATGACTCTGGGAAGGTGTGGCAACAACAAGGCATTGAAGTTTAAAGAAGGAATTTTTTTTAATTTCAAGAACATCAGTGCCTTAGTAATCATATTTAATCATGTGGAAGGTTTGTCAGTTAAGGATATTTGTTCAAATCATAATCTCCAGGGGAAAATGGGGCAACAATGGAGGATCATAGTTTAACATAGGAATATATATGGAATATCATTAAAATTAAAAATATCATTGGTCTGGTGGTCCTTGAGAAGACATTGATTGATTGATTGTATATTGTTTAACGTCCCTCTCGAGAATTTTTCACTCTTATGGAGACGCTACCACTTGCCGGTGGAGAGCTGCAAATTTTGTCCTATACTAGGCACTCATGGCCATTGAGGGATCTTTTTCGTGCCAGTACCTATTGCAACACCAGACTTCGGTTTATACAATCTCATCCAAAGTACCGGTCTCCATGTCCCACAGGGGGATTTGAACCTGCAACGTAAGGATCAATTCCCTACTTTGCAACTCTAGAGCAGACTGTGGCATGCGGGTGACGAGAAGACATTGAAAATGTGAAAAGTTTACAGATGATGGACAATACAAATGACACTGAACACACATTACCATTCATCATCATTTCCATTCATTTTCTATGCATAGGTTGTACATACTGAAATGAAATTTGGTATACAGATTTCATTAGAATATTTAGATCAAGTTGTGATTTGGGTATGATTAAGCAGCTTTTTGCACAGTTATGCTCCTTGATGTTAGAAATATTCCAAATATTTGCATGCAGTTTTTATTCATTCAATGCAGGGGATGACAAATCCCATTGCCCGACGCCCGGGGCTAGTGAATTTTAGGGTTGGGCAAGTGAAATTTTATCAACCACTTGCCCGTGGGCAAGTGACTTAATCAATTATCAAAAATAAAATCAATATCTATGACAATATTCTACTCAGTATTTTTATGTTTCCCAAACGAAGTTGGGGAACATATTGTTTTTACTCTGTTTCTTATTATTAAGGTCTTCCGTCTCCAACGGAAGACCTTATTGTTTTCGTTCGGTTTCTTTTTCCCTATTATTATTTTTCTTAACGATTTTGTGCACGCGATTTCTCAAAAAACGGCTCGCCCGATTTTCACCAAACTTTCAGATCTGATAGATATTTATCTGAACCTTGTCGGAAATTTTCGACGTTGATGACGTCACTTCTGGTCGTGAGATATGGACGATTTTCAGATTTTAATAGGGTAGGCTTGTCCTGAGATCTCCTCCTAAACGACGTAAGATATCAACTTGAGATTTTCAGTGAAGGTAGAGGAAGGATAGTAGTTTTGACATTTTGCATATAGACCTTTCCAGGGGAAAAGGCATCGATGCTTGCCTGGGCTCGAAAAATAGGCTCATTCGCATCTCGCAAAATTTGACACGTTTTCTTTTATATCTTTTTACTTGTGAATATTTTGTTAAGACAAATATAATAAAAGATGTGCAATATAGAAAGACCTTACATTTGATATGAATTTTAAGACAATGGGGTTAGCCCTTCAAATTAGGGGCATAGAGGGGCCAAAAGTCTCTCGTCTTTAACTCTTTAATGATTAATATTTTGTGATACATTACTGAAGCAAAGATATTCAACTCAACGATTTGCAACAATATATACTAAAAATTTAATCATATGTTACGTAATAAAGGGTCACAGGGGGCTAGAATGCTAAATCTTTGATGCTTTATATCTCGAAAAACCTGAATATTTTGATAAGCAATATTGAACAAAAGATGATCAAAATAATGTTCCCAACAATATGCATACTTTTAATTTTTTCATTTGTCATTTTTTTCCGTCGACACTTCCGTTGTAAACCGAAAGAACAAGTAGTTTAAAAACATGTATAGCGATTTTTTTTTCATTTTCTAATGAATGTATTTGTTCATTATAGAGATTTAAAGAATGCGTAGCATCTTAATATTTCCACCGGAAGTACGGTTTGTTCAAACCAGAAGTTGTCTAAAAACGAGTATTTTCCATCGAAACTTTCAGGGATGATTACTGCTTCCTTGATGTAGAGTTGAAAGTAGATTTGAGCACATACAGTCGCACCGGAAGTGAATAAGTAGAACAGGAAGTTGACTGGAATTGATAGATCCTACATTTTTTTGTGTTTCTAAACATATTTTGAAGAATTCTTGTGCTTTTTTGACATTTTTTATCCTATCAATGGAATTATCCCAACACAGGTCTTATTCCATCAGATATCGGACGGAAGACCTAGCTACTCGTTGCTGGCAACGAGATCGCATATAGTTAAGGTCTTCCGACTTCCTTCGGAAGACCTTATTGTTTTCCTTCTGTTTTCTATTATTATTAAGGTCTTCCGACTTCCTTCGGAAGACCTTATTGTTTTCCTTCTGTTTTATATTATTATTATTATTCTTTTTTCATAGTAAAGCCGATATCTCAGCTATGCCTGGACAGATTTCAAAGATTTTCTCAAGAAAGATGCATCATGAGAATATCTCCAGACGTGTTTTTCATTTTTTCAATATTCACTTCCGTTCGTGATTTTTGGGGATTTTTGTATTTTTTAAAAGGCATTTTGTCCAGCAGTTTTCTCGAGAACGGTTAAAGATATGAAAATGAAACTCACTGAGGTGATAGAACATCGAACTCCGTTCTGGGCAACGACCTTTATTTTTCGTCGTCGGCACTTCCGGTCGCAAACGGAAGTGAATTCAAAACGTCCCAATTTTTAACTTTTTCGTTTTTCAATATTTTTCTTTAGTATTTACATGGTTTATAGTGTGTCTAGTGAGAATTCCAAATATGTGTTCAGTATCTTGATGCGTGCATTTATTGAAAAGATATGACCGAACCAAACTTTGTCTCACTGTCAGGGGTTCGAATCCCACTGGAGGCGTTTCAAAATTTTTTTCTTTGTTTACGTCTTTTTTCAGTTGCAAATGACTTTTATTTCTTTGATAACAAGTATGGATTATTTTTCCGATTTTTAAAAGCTATTTTTGGAGATATTTTGAAGAATACCTGTAATTATCATGATGTATGTTTAGAGACTGCTGTGAATAAAAAATAACCTAAAAAATACGTTCTGAAATCTATTTCTTGGGATTACGCAGCATATAACTCTTACGAAAAGTCGGTCGGAAGACCGCTTGTTGCTTTAGCAACAAGAACACATCTAGTTATTAAGGTCTTCCGACTTCCTTCGGAAGACCTTATTGTTTTCCGTCGGTTTCCTATTATTATTATTATTCTTTTTTCATTTCCATGGCGATATCTCCGCTGTGACTGTACGGATTTCAAAGATTTTTACAGGAAAGATGCACCAGATTAATATCTCCAGACGTGTTTTTCATTTTTTCAAAATTTTCTTCCGTTCGCGATTTTTGGGGAAATTTGTTTTTTTTTAAATGGATTTTTGTACACAACTTTTCTCGAAAACGGCCAAAGATATGACATTGAAACTTATGGACATGAAAGACCATCACATGTAGATGTGCCGAACGTCCTTCATTTTTTGTCGTTCCTACTTCCGGTCGCAAACGGAAGTGAATTCAAAAAGTCAAATTTTTCAACTTTTTTGTTTTTCAATATTTTTCTTTCGGATTTACAGAGTTTATAGAGCGTCTTCAAAGATATATATATATGTTTTTATTTTTTTCATGCGTGCGTTTATTGCAAAGATATGACCGAACTATACTTTGTCTTAATGTCGGGGGTTCGAATCCCGCTCGGGGCGTTCCCCAAATTTTTTCTTTGTTTTTGTCTTTTTTCAGTTGCAAATTTCTTTTCACTCTTTTATAACATGTGTGGAAGATTTTGCCGATTTTTAAAAGCTATATTTGGAGATATTTTGTGAAATACCTGGAACAATCACGATCTGTGTTGAGAAACTGCTGTAAATGAACGTAAACGAAAAAATACATTATGAAATCTATTTCATGGGATGACGCAGACAATATGGAAAAGAGAAGTCGGTCGGAAGACCTGCTTGTTGCACCAGCAACAAGAACGCATCTAGTTATTATTATTATTCCACTTTTCATAGTACAGGTCATATCTCCGCTGTGCGTGGTTCAATTTGAACGATTTTTTCAGGGATGGTGCATCATATTAATATCTCCAGGGGTGTCCCTCACTTTTTCGAAATTTACTTCCGTTCGCGTTTTTTGGGGAAATTTGTATTTTTTAAATGGAATTTTGTCCCAAAAAATTCTTGAGAACAGTAACAGATATAAAACTGAAACTTACGGACGTGATAGAACATCGAATGTAGATGTGTTGATCGACCTTCATTTTTCGTCGTTCTGACTTCCGGTCGCAAACGGAAGTGAATTCTAAAGGTCTATTTTTTCAACTTTTTTGTTTTTCACTATTTTTCTTTGGAAATCACAGGGTTGATAGAGTATTTTTTAAGAACTCTAAATATATTTTCAACATTTTCATGCGTGCATTTGTTGCAAATTAAAGATATGACCGATCCAAACTTTGTCTCACTGTCGGGGGTTCGAATCCCGCTGGGGGGTTGCAAAAATTTTTTCCCTGTTTCTGTCTTTTTTCAGTTGCATATGACTTTTCTTTCTTTTTTATAATGTATGGAAGATTTTGTCGATTTTTAAAAGCTATATTTTGAGATATTTTGTGGAATAACTGTAATAATCACGATCTATGTTGAGAGACTGCTGTCAATGAAAGTAAACGATAAAAATACATTCTGAAATCTATTTCATGGCCTGACGGAGCAGAGATTTCTAACGAAAAGTCGGGCGGAAGACCTGCTTGTTGCCCTAGCAACAAGAACGCATCTAGTTAGGGTCTTCCGCTTCCTTCGGAAGACCCTACTGTTATTCTATTGTTTCTTATTATTCTTTTTTTTTTTTCCCGCTCGACTTTTGACAGGCGATTTCTCAAAGACCTTTGGACTGATCGTTATGAAACTTTCAGGATAGATAGCTTGTAGTTAAACCTATTTAAACCTGTTTTCAGTTTTTTTATGCATGCCTTTATTTGTGTGTTATTGCCCTTTAATTGAAAATTTTTGATGTCTCGTTTCCACTGAAAATCTCAAAAATGACATAAGATATTTACACGAAAGTTGGAGAACTTGTAGCCAATACATTGTAGATGTGCACAACGATAAAATTATATAGCTGATTTCTTAAAGTTTGGAAGCTATAAAACGGCAAATTTTAGTAATTTTTTTTCTTTGAATTTTTGCTACTTTTTGTGTAATAACTTTTAAACCGAGAATAATTTGGTAAGAAATATATTACAAAAGTTGTGGGTAATTACGAGAGCTTTCATATTTGATTAACGAAAAGGGGCTGGCCCCTATAATTAGGGGTTAATAGCTCATACACGCTTTTTTCTGATAGCTAAAAATATTGGTATATTATGAAAAAGTTTGACTGAAATAATTTCGAACTTATAAAGTCTTGTCATTTGATATAAAAAGAAATAAACTTCCAGCTATATTTAATTGTTTTTTTAATAAAACAAGTACATGTATGTGAGAAACCTTTCAGGAACAAGTTGTCTACTATAGCCAGCCAAGCCTTTACTGCATACATGTGCACATTTTTAGTTGATGCATCTAAAAGATATAGTTTTGATTCGGTGTTTCTTTGTTTTCTTTTTATTCAAATAATTTTAAAATGTGATGATGTACACAACAATAATTAGAACCTAGTTTGGAGGATTTTTTCGCGCTTGTTTGTAAACAACGCGCGGCATTGTGGGAAATAGGAAGGTACTAAAGACGCGATGTACTAAACACTGATTTGACCTGATTCAAATTTGTCTGTAAATGTTCCAAACAATTGAATTTTTGTATAGCATATGCCTCGAAGTCATAAAGTCTGTACATAAGTAATTTAAAATACTCAATATTACCATTTTATTATAAATTAAAACGTCAGGTAAATATCAGGTCTCTAGTATATCCCGTTTTTAGTGTGCCCCTTCGAGTCGACGTCGGCCACATGTTTGCCATGGTTTACAAACTGAAAATAGAATGATTTGTGAAGTTGAACATTTTCTCACAAAGAATCCGTTTGTAGACATGTACACTCATTTAATCTGCAGCTACGAAGTACTTTGTCACTTCTCTGGAACATTATTCTAAGCAGAATTATCCCTATTCATATATTCTAAGAATCTTGTGTGAATTGTTTACGAGGAAATTCTGACTGTCACATTAACAAGGATGAACACTCTTGACTCTGCTTCGGATTCCCCAGTGATAATTGTATCGAGTGATGAAAGAGCTGACGGCGACATTTTAATGTATGATTGGCTTGGACCATTGGAATGAAGGTTAGAATATTTTTATTACTTAAAATTTACACTACTGATTACATGACAGTGACATACATTGATGTTATTAGAAATACACAGACACACCGATATATTATCTGTTTTACAGTTCAGACGCTCTCTGTTTACCTTGTAAATCCCCACAGCTTTATATTTTATTTTTTTTAAATTTGAGGATGTAATTTCAACAGTCCTACTATCTATCATAGTGATCATACTCTATAATTCAAACTGCACTTAATGTTACAGAATATATTCAACTAATTATATATTGACAGTGTGACTGTAAGGGTGAGGGCAGATACTTATTTAGTTTTAATTTAGATTGTGCTTGTCAAGCCGCATTTGACATTTGGTGCATCCATGCTCAGTGTTCACACTGAGAGTTTATTCAAATGTTTAATTCGAATGAATTCACTGCTCGTTAAATTACTTCCCATTAGCTCCATGTGAACATGAGTAAGGATAGCTAATTCAAATTAAATAGAAATGAATTTTGAATGTAGCTTAAACATTTTAAAGAAGCTAAGCACTGTGGGTCCAAAGTATACTGCGGAAAAATTGTGTGGAGCAATGTGCAAGTCACAATCTTCTTTTGCCAAGGTCTTATCATAAGAGCTCGCATTATGGGCAGGGATTTGTGCTGCTGTCTGGACTCGCTTTAAATAGATGTTCTCAAAAAGTCTAAATTATTTAATATCATACTTTACTGACAAAAAAGGACAAATATTGCTCAGTTAAATTGCAAAAGAAATTTGTTTAAAAAAATTGTAATAATAGAAAGTTTGCTTTTTTGTTTGGTAAGACTGCTGTAATTGTTTAATGTTTGTTTATTTGCCTTAATCATACATTTTTCAGTCATTTCATGGTGCCACCACTTGGGATGGTATTAGCTGCAAATATAGACTTGTACTCAGCACTTACTGCCTTTAAGAAGTATGAGATCCATTTTGTGCTAACACCTACCGTGACACAGAATCTTGGTTTATGCAGTCTCATAGGAGTAACCTGTCTAAAGCATTTAGCAATGGGATTGGAACCTGCGACGTAAGGTTCAGCTTCTTATTGATACTTTGATTTATAATATTTATTTGAGAATTTCACTCATTCACATACTTAGAGATGTTGATATATATTGTTGAATAGCATCAATTTAGACCTTTACTTAGCTAAGTAAACATGTACTGTGAGGTTTTTAAGGTCTCATTCATTTTATATGCCAGATGCATGTTAAGGAACATTACTGCATAAATGTTTTTGTCTTAAATTTGAAGCTCTTTACTAATATAAAGATATGTTAGTGTTAAACCTCTTCAAATTAGGGTAGACCTTTACTTTAAACTCAGCAATGTGAGTGTGTTGTGTGAATTTGTGTTAGCGAGACAGTGTGTTGTATGAATTTGTGTTAGCAAGGCAGTGTGTTTTGTGAACTTAATTGTGTTAGCCTGACAGTGGGTTGTGTGAATTCTTGTTAGCTTGACGATGTGTTGCGTAAACTCGTGTTAGCGGGACAGCGTGTTGTGTGAAATCGTGTATAAAGTGTAAGTGTGACAGTGTGTTGTGTAAACTCGTGTTAGCTAGACAGAGTGTTGATTGAACTCGTATTAGCGAGACTTCGTGTTGTGTAAACTCGTGTTAGTGAGACTGCGTGTTGTGTAAACTCGTGTTAGCGAGACTGCGTGTTGCGTAAACTCATATTAGCGAGACAGCGTGTTGTGTGAACTCTTATTAACGAGACAGCATGTTGTGTGAATTCGTGTTAGCGTGACAGTGTGTTGTGTGAACTTGTTATCCTGAAAATTTGTCGTGTGAACTGGTGTTAGAGAGATAGTGTGTTGTGTGAACTCATGTTAGCGAGATTGCATATTGTGTGAACTCGTGTTAGCCAGACTGCGTGTTATGTGAACTCTTGTTAGCGATATTGCATGTTTTTTGAATTTGTGTTAGCGTGACAGTGTGTTGTGTGAACTCGTGTTAGCCTGACAGTGTGTTGTGTGAAATGGTATTAGGATGACAGTGTGTTGTGTGAAATGGTATTAGGATGACAGTGTGTTATCGCAACAGTGTTTGGTGCGAACTTGTGTTAGTGAATAGTGAGACAGCCTGTTTTGTGAATTCGTGTTAGTGTGACAGTGTGTTGTGTGAACTCGTGTTAGCCTGACAGTGTGTTGTGTGAAATGGTATTAGAATGACAGTGTGTTGTGTGAAATGGTATTAGGATGACAGTGTGTTATCGCAACAGCATTTGGTGCGAACTTGTGTTAGTGAATAGTGAGACAGCCTGTTTTGTGACTTTATGTTAGCGTGACAGTGTATTGTGTAAACTCGTGTTAGCGTGACAGTGTATTGTGTAAACTCGTGTTAGTGAGACTGCGTGTTGTGTAAACTCATGTTAGCGTGACAGTGTGTTGTGTGAATTCATCTAAGCGTGACAGTGTGTTGCATGTACTTGTGTTAGCTAGACAGTGCGTTGTATGAACTCGTATTAGCGAGACTGTGTGTTGTGTAAAACTTGTGTTAGCAAGACAGCGTGTTGTGTGAACTTGTGTTAGTGAGACAGCGTGTTTGTGAATTTGTGTTAGCATGATAGTGTGTTGTGTGAACTCGTGTTAGCCTGATATTTTGTTGTGTGAAATTGTATTAGCGTGACAGTGTGTTGTGTGTTAGTGTGACAGCGTGTGGTGCGAACTTGTGTTAGTGCGAAAGTGTTTTTCAGTGTTGTGATGGCGAGCTGTGTGATAGCCTAATGGCGTCTTTTGTGTCGGTAAGATGGCACGCTTTTATGAAAGTGCTATTGAGCTTTAGCAAGTGGCCCTATCTGGACACGCCTTATTATAATTGATCAGTTCTCAGGTATACAGTGAATTACCGGTATTATTGTCACCATGAAATCAGCATTTACAGTTGCAATTACGTAGTTAGTAATCATAAGATATTGGTTTGCGAGTTTTAAAATTATGGTGTTCCAATGATGTGAAGTTGCAGTGTGTTAGCATGTTAATTTCAACAGACTGCCACTCCAATGCAGCTTTAAACAACACGCTGCTGTGTTTACACAAAACAAAATATCATGCAAACACAACTCTAAACAATCTGTTGAGTGTTAGCTTCACTGCATGTTGGATTCAGTGTGCTGGCATATTATCACTGACGTACATGCTAGCACATTGTCACCTCGTGCTAGTATGTTGTCATAAATACTCTAGCACATTATTCTAAACCCACTAGTGCATGATTACTTTGCACTTGTATGTTGTCTTATTAGGGCCCCGCAAGGATTTGCGGGTGCCCTATAGTAATCACTCTGTCTGTCCGTCCGTCTGTCCAGCTGTCTGTCTGTCTGTCCGTCTGTCACTCTTCCGTCCACAAATTTTCTGTTTTTTTCTAATAACTTTTTTTATAGTTGCCCAATCAAGTTCAAATTTGGTATGGTAGTTCAGTAGGCAGAAATACATATTTTGATGCTAAGTTTGCTTCTCTATGTCTTCTGGTTTGGAGCTGGGGTGGTGGGGTAGATTCCTTAACTATGCATAAGAATGAATGGGCAACTTTTTTTATGGTTGCCCAATCAAGTACAAATTTGGTATGGTAGTTCAGTAGGCAGAAATACATATTTTGATGCTAAGTTTGGTTCTCTATGTCCCCTGGTTTGGAGCTGGGGTGGTGGGGTAGATTCCTTAACTTTATATACAAAAGCAGTGGCAAAGAGAGATAACTGCTGAAGATGTTGCCATTGTAAACTGAATGCTTCTATGAGTCCCTTGGGATTAATTAGCTTTCCTCCTGAAGAAAATCCAGAGCATTATCTTTATCTGTCAAATTGAGATGAATTACCACCTCTGTCTGCAAATGAAGTTTGTTTTGAAGTTAAGTCAATTTGAAATGCTATGAACACTCTGAAATGTGGATTTAAATATAAATATTTATAATTTATTTTTGTTTAAAAGTTATGATTTCTTTGAATTCTAATAACAAGAAATAGATTAAAGAAGATTTTTTGATTTACTTTTTTTCACTTTATGTTAATTCAAGAATATTATTAATTTTTAGGATAGTTGTATAAAAACACCATTTTATCATTAATACTGAAAAAGTTCTTATTGTAACTTAAGAAGAAAATGATGAGAGAGGTACAATTAATCCCTTGGGATTAATTATCTAGCCTGCTGCAGAAAATTCAGTAGGCTTATCTTTATCTGTCACTTTAAGATTAATGAAACCCCTTGTCTGCAACTGCTGTTTGTTTGAAGTTAAGGTCAAGCCTTCATGATACATGTATTTGCATTCATTGAAGGCTGGCATTTTATATAACACATGCTTCATAATCATGATAATTGTTTAAATATACATTCAATGTTAAGTTGTTTTTTACTGCCTAATGTAAATACAAGGATATTATTTTCAGTTTTTGAATATTCAGGAATTATCTTGAAATTTTAAGAATACAGTTGCTGTTGCTTATTCTTCGTACATTTTTTTATCATTCTGTAAGCTGCACCCTATTAATTCTACCCCATGGCGGGGCCCTTGCTGACTGGTTAGTTTTCTAGTTAGGGGATAGCATAAATGACTGCCTTAATTGGTGTAAACTTCTTTTAATTGATGAAAGAGTACATTAAAATTTACAAATTATACACAGAAAATGTGACAATATCTTATCTCTCAATTTGATAATCTAATTTATTATCTCATGAATTGCACTTTTTATTAGTAAAAGAATTATAAATTAAAAAATTTCAATTTCTTTTGGATAGGTGTGACTCATCTGAATACTGAATTTTGATACCAAGCATGACCATGATTTGCCAGAAGATCATCTGTTTGGATGTGACATGGAATAAACAGCATAGTGAAAATAAGTCAAGTTTTGGTTTGTGAAGACAATTTTTAAACACACTGTGTATCATTTTTAAATTTTGATTTGACAACATAAATCCACAAATATGAACATATCAATTGCTCTCAGTTTTTCAAGTGAAATAGTTTTTGTAACAGAAATACATGTACCAGTAATTACATTGGAATAAATGTTATTTTTAAATATAATAATATTTTGTTTGTGTAGCATGTTGACCTCTTTATTAAGGTCTTCCCTTTCAAAGTTTAGACTTACTTATTCTAATGATTAAGATAGATCCTCTGTCTTCAGCAGGAATATAAGATCTTGTAATACATGTATGTGTATTTTTTACAGTATACCGTATTTGGCCGAATATAATACGCATTTATGTAAAATACGCACCCCCCTTTTTGAGTCTGAAACTGGGGAAAAAACGCAGTTCGGATGTATTATACGCAACAGAAAAATTTACAAAGCGATGTTCTGAACTATGAAAATCACAGTAATTTGTTACGAAAATCGGCGCGAGGATTAGGTGTCAAAAAATTTACTGAACACACTTTTTTAAAAATACACACTTTATAACTTTCTCTTAATCCTGACATTCATTATCGCGATGATCTGGAGAAAATTATTTATTCATTTATTTCAACAAAGCACAAGATAATGTTGCGTAAAAGTATTAACAGATTTTTTTAAAGAATAGTTACGGTGATTTTGAAATTATGCGCCGCCATATTCTCAGATGAAATAATTTTTATTTCAACAAGATATTGTAGAAAGTTTTATCAGTTGTCATATTTAATTTTGGTTCTAGATAATCATGCTTAAAATTATCTTACAATATTTTAACAGGAAACGAAATTGAAACATCAAAGTATTTATTTCTTTAAGAAGACTACGATTTTCCTCTTCTGAATCTTCACGGATATCTTATTTTCTAAAAGATACCACTTTTATTAAAAGTTTTAGCATAATTTATATTTCATTTCTCAACTCTCAATTATTTAAACAAGAGGCCGATAAGTATAAGATAAGGTAAAATTACATTTAGCAACTGTTTAATTGTTTTAAGTGCTGTAATCAACACATGCTCACCATGCTCACACATACGAAAGGTCATAAACCAACCCCCAATTTTTAACAAAGAAAATAATCACAGCAATTAACATGGCAGTAAATAATCAGTGCTCTAACTGTAAAAACATTGCTTTGGAGTCGGTAGACAATTAATTGCCCCGAGGGATGTTGATAGGTAATTATCATTTGACCAGCGCACTGGTTTCCTTTCATTGGGACGTATCCATGGAGGGGTGTTTATATTGTTGCAGATTATAACTGAGTTATTTTAAGCCTAAAATTAATATTTATTTTATTGTATTTCATTAAAAAATGATTTATTACTTTGTCTGGCAGATAAGGTGCATGTGCACTATCATTCCGGAAGCACGTGACATAGCTATGAGTGAACGTCTAAAAATAACATCGGTAATGGTGGCCTCCTCGGAGACAATCAACATGCAGCTCAAATTACTTTTAACTTACTTTTTAATGTTATTTGGGCATAAAAAGATAATGAAAGTGACATTTTTAAGAAGCATATCTTCCAACAATAACTTTCCGAAGTTTAAAATATGGCAATTAACAAAAGAAATTGCATATGTCTCTAGGTAATACTACGGTATGTACATATGATAGCCGTGTTTCACCTGAAAGAAAAACTTGTCAAAATCCCATTGTGATGTAAAATACACATCCCTTTCTCACAGAAATTTATTTTAGGAAAAAAGTGCGTATTGTATTCCCCCAATTATGGTAATTGTTTAATCTGCGCTCAGCCGCTGACACAGTACAGTATATACCAAAGCTGGTCATAAACCGTCCCGATTTTTAACAAAGAAAATATTTCTTATCAAAGCAAATTATAAGGACAGTAAAAAATCAGTGCTCTAACTGTAAAAACGTTGCTTTGGAGTTGGTAGACAATTAATTGCCTGGAGGGGTGTTGGGAGATAATTATCAAGTGACCAGCGCACGTGTTTAAAACATTGGCTTCCTTTCATTGGTACAATGTACGTAGAGAGGGTGTTTATGTTGTAGTGAATTTTCACTGAGTTATTTACAACCTAAACTATTTTTTTATTATTGAATTTCATTAAAAAAAAAAGACATTGCTTTGTCTGATTATTACGGAAGGAGTGAACGTCTAAAAATAACATCGGTAATGGCGGCCTACACGGAGAGTCGGGAAGGCAATAAACATGCAGCTCAAATTAATTTTAACTTGCTTTTTCATGTCATTATATTATCAAAAGGTTATGAAAATGACATTTTTAACAAGCATACTTACCAACAATAAATTTTGAAGTTTATACATGTGTATTAAAATATGGCGATAAACAAAAGAAATTGCACATGTCTCTATAGGTAATACTACGGTATGTACACATGATAGCCATGTTTCACCTGAAAGAAAAACATGAAAATCCCATTTTCATGTAAAGTACGCACTCCTTTCTTACAGAAATTTATTTTAGTAAAAAAGTGTGTATTATATTCCGCCAAATACGGTAATGTAAAAAAAAATTGTTGTTTTGGCACATACAACTAATTCAAGGCATAAACATGTGTATGATTCCAAGGAATTCAGTACATAGGGCATGTACATGTAGTTTTCTAAAACAAGATTGAAGAGATGTCCAGTTGCATTTCATTGTCAACTCCAAAACTGTGCCTGTTGCATACTTATTAGCCCATCTGAGCTAAGGAACCAGTAATTTTTTTAAAAACATAATTTTATCCATTATCATCATTGTCTAAAATTTCACAATATCATTTTCCAGAACCAAAGTGAAACTTGGCACAGAGCATCCTTAGTGTAGGGGATTCAAATTGTTCTTATGCAGGGCAATACCTTCAAAGAGATTTGTTTCTTTAATACTGTAAATGTATTATATTTAGCTTGTACAATATTTGGTGGAAATTGACTTTTGAATAAGTTAGCGTAGATATTCTTATTTATGTTTATGTACAAGACTTTAGCTTTGTACTTGATTTAGTGATTGCTGCATTCCGCCAAAGCCGCTAAAAAAGAATACACAGCCATATGTAATATGTTCATAATATACCTTTCAGAGAATTTTACACTCCTATTGAGGTACCACCAGTTGCTAATGGAAAGCTTCAAATTCGAAACATACACAACACATTTCTGTGCGTTTATTATAAAAGTATTGTTCTACTTACTGATTGCAACTAATGAAGATTGTTCATCATTATTGTAAATACATTTGGATTTTTTGAATTATTATATAATTTGTTTATTTTATTTACCTAGTTATATTGTATATTAAATGATTTTAAAGCCATTTTTAAGATGGTAATGTAGCAAAACACTTATGTTTCTGTAGTATGACACGTTTCACAAACATAACATAGGCGTCGGAACCGGGGGGGGCTAGGGGGGGCTTAGCCCCCCCACTTTTTTTCCAAATATATACTTAGTATAGACATTGAACGTATCTTCGTAGGTTTAGCCCCCCCACTTTCCACAGATGCGCCTTAGTATAGGTTAAAAATTGGGAAAGTGGTGGTGTCAAAAGTCGTAATATTGGAAGTTAAACTGTTGTGTATACGATTTCAAGAATGCTGTTAGAGAGAGTACCCTTTAGACCTCATGCTCACACCAAATTAAAGAATTCAAGTAAGGGTTTTTGAGACAAGTCGAAAAAGAGAATGTTAGCCAAGTTGACAATCTAGACAGAAACATTGAATCTTTTGCTTATCGCTAGGAAGGAAGACCCACTCGTTGCTTTGCAACGAGCTTTGCTCTAGTTATTATGTCGCCCCGAACGAAGTCGGGGACGACATATTGATATTGTACGCATGTTTTTTTTATCCAGGCTGTTTCTCGGAGATGGCTGGGACAATCTTCCTGAAACTTTCCTCAAAGGACGATCACTGGTTGTAGTTGTGCAGTGAGGTTGTTCAGTTCCAATATGTCTACCGTTGCCATGGAAACCTGTAAAAAGCGACAAATTTTGTCCGAGAGTGTTCTCTCTGGTCCCTTAAACGTTCGTCATAAAACTTTTCTTATTTTAATGATTAGTATCTGTAGTTATGCAACTCGCATTTAAAATTTTCAAATAATCGATTATTGCCATGGAAACCAGGTGAAAGTTAAAATTCTTTAATTTCGATTTTCTCAATAACTACGCAGGCAATCGTTTTGAAACTTTCAGTGTTTATTCCTTGCAATGCGTCAAAGTGATTTCTACTTTTAAAAAAATTGTAATGAGTCGCTCACAGTTGCCATAGAAACGAAACAGAAAAAAAGATTCAGATGTACACATGTGTTCTCCAAGGTCTAGGTCAAAGGGTCAAAGTTCTTGGTGTCCAATAAAAGTTCTTTTCACAAGGATTACATATTTGAAATACGAAAGCCCTAGCCCTTACCGTTCAAACGTAAGGTACTATGTTCAAGACAACCCCCCCCCCCCTTTTTTGAAGCGCACTGCCAGGTAGAATACACAGATATAACATATACAATTTACAGGTAACGTTTTAAAAGTTTCATTCATAAAATTCAGTTCTCCTGATGTGATTTGATAGTTTGCCAACAGTCATTCTTCTTCTGTCTTGTCTCTAGATTTTATAATTATTTTGTTTTTTCTATATAAAAAATAACGATTGTCAACTTCATTTATTAGCATTTCGCGTTTTTTGGTATATCTATTACTTGTATATTATTAATTTCATTAAATAGTGCAAGAATAAATTAGAAAATTGGTACGTTATTTCCATAGTTTTTATTCATTCATAAATCTTTGGATCCGCTCCTATACAGGTGCGCTAAGCCTTGATCACTACTGTAAACAAAACATTCATCTCGCCGAAAATGTTCATGATTCCGCTAAACTGAGAAAGTTTTCACATGATTTATCATCTCATAAGAAACATCAGACCTGTACAGTGCAGAAATGCTCGAATTGAAGGGGAAAATTCAGGAGTTATTGATGGGAAAAATTCAGGAGTTATTATGTCGCCCCGAACGAAGTCGGGGACGACATATTGATATTGTACGCATGTTTTTTTTATCCAGGCTGTTTCTCGGAGATGGCTGGGACAATCTTCCTGAAACTTTCCTCAAAGGACGATCACTGGTTGTAGTTGTGCAGTGAGGTTGTTCAGTTCCAATATGTCTACCGTTGCCATGGAAACCTGTAAAAAGCGACAAATTTTGTCCGAGAGTGTTCTCTCTGGTCCCTTAAACGTTCGTCATAAAACTTTTCTTATTTTAATGATTAGTATCTGTAGTTATGCAACTCGCATTTAAAATTTTCAAATAATCGATTATTGCCATGGAAACCAGGTGAAAGTTAAAATTCTTTAATTTCGATTTTCTCAATAACTACGCAGGCAATCGTTTTGAATCTTTCAGTGTTTATTCCTTGCAATGTGTCAAAGTGATTTCTACTTTTAAAAAAATTGTATGAGTCGCTCACAGTTGCCATAGAAACGAAACAGAAAAAAAGATTCAGATGTACACATGTGTTCTCCAAGGTCTAGGTCAAAGGGTCAAAGTTCTTGGTGTCCAATAAAAGTTCTTTTCACAAGGATTACATATTTGAAATACGAAAGCCCTAGCCCTTACCGTTCAAACGTAAGGTACTATGTTCAAGACAACCCCCCCCCCTTTTTTGAAGCGCACTGCCAGGTAGAATACACAGATATAACATATACAATTTACAGGTAACGTTTTAAAAGTTTCATTCATAAAATTCAGTTCTCCTGATGTGATTTGATAGTTTGCCAACAGTCATTCTTCTTCTGTCTTGTCTCTAGATTTTATAATTATTTTGTTTTTTCTATATAAAAAATAACGATTGTCAACTTCATTTATTAGCATTTCGCGTTTTTTGGTATATCTATTACTTGTATATTATTAATTTCATTAAATAGTGCAAGAATAAATTAGAAAATTGGTACGTTATTTCCATAGTTTTTATTCATTCATAAATCTTTGGATCCGCTCCTATACAGGTGCGCTAAGCCTTGATCACTACTGTAAACAAAACATTCATCTCGCCGAAAATGTTCATGATTCCGCTAAACTGAGAAAGTTTTCACATGATTTATCATCTCATAAGAAACATCAGACCTGTACAGTGCAGAAATGCTCGAATTGAAGGGGAAAATTCAGGAGTTATTGATGGGAAAAATTCAGGAGTTATTATGTCGCCCCGAACGAAGTCGGGGACGACATATTGATATTGTACGCATGTTTTTTTTATCCAGGCTGTTTCTCGGAGATGGCTGGGACAATCTTCCTGAAACTTTCCTCAAAGGACGATCACTGGTTGTAGTTGTGCAGTGAGGTTGTTCAGTTCCAATATGTCTACCGTTGCCATGGAAACCTGTAAAAAGCGACAAATTTTGTCCGAGAGTGTTCTCTCTGGTCCCTTAAACGTTCGTCATAAAACTTTTCTTATTTTAATGATTAGTATCTGTAGTTATGCAACTCGCATTTAAAATTTTCAAATAATCGATTATTGCCATGGAAACCAGGTGAAAGTTAAAATTCTTTAATTTCGATTTTCTCAATAACTACGCAGGCAATCGTTTTGAATCTTTCAGTGTTTATTCCTTGCAATGTGTCAAAGTGATTTCTACTTTTAAAAAAATTGTATGAGTCGCTCACAGTTGCCATAGAAACGAAACAGAAAAAAAGATTCAGATGTACACATGTGTTCTCCAAGGTCTAGGTCAAAGGGTCAAAGTTCTTGGTGTCCAATAAAAGTTCTTTTCACAAGGATTACATATTTGAAATACGAAAGCCCTAGCCCTTACCGTTCAAACGTAAGGTACTATGTTCAAGACAACCCCCCCCCCTTTTTTGAAGCGCACTGCCAGGTAGAATACACAGATATAACATATACAATTTACAGGTAACGTTTTAAAAGTTTCATTCATAAAATTCAGTTCTCCTGATGTGATTTGATAGTTTGCCAACAGTCATTCTTCTTCTGTCTTGTCTCTAGATTTTATAATTATTTTGTTTTTTCTATATAAAAAATAACGATTGTCAACTTCATTTATTAGCATTTCGCGTTTTTTGGTATATCTATTACTTGTATATTATTAATTTCATTAAATAGTGCAAGAATAAATTAGAAAATTGGTACGTTATTTCCATAGTTTTTATTCATTCATAAATCTTTGGATCCGCTCCTATACAGGTGCGCTAAGCCTTGATCACTACTGTAAACAAAACATTCATCTCGCCGAAAATGTTCATGATTCCGCTAAACTGAGAAAGTTTTCACATGATTTATCATCTCATAAGAAACATCAGACCTGTACAGTGCAGAAATGCTTGAATTGACTGTGGCATGTCAGATTCGTTTTCCGGCAGAACCTCTACAAATTAAAGTGAAAGTAGGGAATTTTCTGAATTCTCACTGGCGTTTTAATACACAAAATAATTCGGCTGATCTTCTTAATAAATAATATTTGCCAAGCATTTTTGGTAGGAAAGATACTGCCAATTAACAAGTATGAGACTCAGTTCAGTACATCTGCCCAATTTCTTGTATGCAAGTCTGCAATTTTGGACTTGTAATTTTTTTCCTGCACTACTTTCTTCTCCTACAGATTCTAAAAATAATGAGTGGGATGTACCCAATTAAGGTCTTCCGTTTCTAACGGAAAGAACTGATCATACGACTGGATGGTTGTCAAAGCTTAGCTAATGGACCATTGTTTTAGTGATGATAAAAATGAAAGTCTTGTCCGAAACGGGGCGACATATGCTATTGCTTGCAATAGCAGACTTTCTAGTTATTATTTTTCTTCTTCCTGGGAAAATCTTTTCCGCGAGTGATCTTGTAAACTACACATCCGACTAAGGTGAAACCTTTTTAGGGTCAGTAGGCATGTTATGTAGATTTGCGGAACGAAGGTCATTTTACGTGCATGTGCGTGCAAGAGCGCGCACGTGCAACACGTGAAATGACCAATATAATGGATATACCCGTAACTTTTCTACTTTTTGATTATATGCTTTGAAACTCATAATATAAGTATATATTAGTAGTATAGACGTGATGACATGGTCAAAATAGCAAGATCTCACGCGCATGCACGTGCACTTTGCTCTTATTGGCTGAAACTAAAGCCTCAATATCTTTCTTGTTTTTTGATAAAATCCTTTGAAATTTTGAACAGAGTCAAACATTAGGGAGATCTTTAGCTTGATATATAAGAATTATCATGAAAGCATGTGCATGCACGTATGCTTGCAAGAGCGCGCATGTGCAACACCAGAAATGTCCAATATAATTGATATAGACGTAACTATTTAAAAGTTTGATGAAATGTTTTGAAACTCATAATATAAGGATATTTTAGCATAGACAAAAAATGTATTTGTCAGCCCCTGCAATGGCATTGAATTCTAGTAAAGATAAATAAAAAGATACAAATAACAGATTTAATGCAGTAAAACATTGATAAAAAGTGACAATTGCCACCTCTTAACATGCTCAGACATATACAACTATGTACAACAAATTTCTGACTGATCTCAACATGTATTATCTTTTCTGCATAGTGTTTCTTATGATGAACCTGTCTTAGCCTACAAGGATCATAAAGTCACATTCAATTCACAGTTGTCATCAGAATTCAAAATGGTTTTTAAATTTCTTCTAAGAAGTCTGTCATTTCATCCATGACATGGCTGTCATCATAGGGAGCTCGCACATATCCTTTTTTACGCTTGGAATTTCCATGCGGGGCCACCCCAGGGAACAAGCCCAAATACTCCACGACAAAAATACTACTACTCGACGAATTCATCCATGTAATTCGTCGTCTGTAACTAGGGTCCAATTTAAGGGCCGTGTAATAGCGATTTAGTGTCGTAATTCTGGAAGGATCTGGTTGCGGTTCCATTAAAGTGAACACATATTTGCCTTTACATTTTGACCGGATATGAAACAGTCTATTTCGTACAACAATGGTTCTGTATTCCCCCGTTTCTCGTTGAATTAAGTAAGTTTTTGGTGTATTCCCTTTACTCCAAGTCCCACAGTCATCAGGGAAGAAACACCTTTTGTCCCTTACTATATTTGCAGCATTTTTAACAATAAAATAGACATTGTTTTTTATTCCTGGTGGAATTGACGGAAGTGCTTCCGATGCAGGGAAAGATTTGAAAATTTCTAGTAAACATTCAAAATCAAAAAACGACTTGTCCACTTGACCAACTGCTTCAATTCTGACAGGAGTAATTTCACTGGACTCGTTTTGTTCACCACTTTGATCAGCACTGTTCGCGGCTGAGAGCTCATCAGTCTCACTTGTAGGTTTCGAGAATTGTGCTCTCGCTTTCCCATAATGATGGGTTGAACGGGAAGCTTTAGTTGAGGACACCAGTGGCTGCTTTTGGTCATGCTTTTCATCTGCATTGTGCGATGGAACATCGTCTGAGGATTTACTATAAGGGTGGTCTAAACCTGAAGTTCTGGAAGGATTAATTGATAATGAGTTATCTTGCGATGCAAGATCCTCAGAAGATGGAATATCTAGTAATTGATCAACATCAATTACATTCTCTGGAGCAGGGGGCAAAAGGGGAACAAAATGATTGGTCACCCAGTTACCATCGTCATCTTTTAACATGCTGCACCATAGAATATTTATGGTGTACTTGGCCTGTAGAGCACGTGGTAGGAATTCACAGTTCAAAATCGAAACTGATGGGTCAAGGAGGCCATGTACTGGTGGGTATAAAGACTTGATGCCTCTCGATATTACAGTAGCAGCAGCATGAATAGTCCATGCACATGAGAACTTGAAATTCTGAGCACAGCTCCCAATGGCTTCCTCGTATGAAGGAGATATGTATGCCATTCTATCCCTCTTGTGACTATTTATGTAGAAGTCTTTGTGATAAAACATCTCAAGGCAAGTCCGGGCCCTGATCTCCGATGCCAGTTTTTCATTGCCCTGTATAGCGATTGATATGGCATTAAATAAACAATTCCCGTTTCCTTGGACTGAAACAGGCACAAAATCTGACTTGCCAACCAGATCCGAGGCTGAATGGTCTATACTCATGGAAGGTTCATATTTGAAAGGTTGTTTTGAAGGTAAACGTTTAGGTTGTTTACGCATAAAAATCGACTCGATCTTAACTCCCATCTCAAAACACCCAGACTGAAGAGCTGATTCTAACCTGGCAAGAGACTTATCATAGTCAAAGGCCCCAGAATTGTTCTCACAACATCTAGAACAAATGTAAGGCAGCGGGCATTTCTTCAAGTAATAGAAATCAGTATTGGACAATTCCTCGCACTTTTGGTGAAACCATTCTTCACATTTGTCACAGCCCACACATTTATAGCCATCACAGCTAACATGACAAAGGCCGCATGCATAGTCACTCGCTGGAGATGAATCATTCATGCTGCCAAGAAAGATGCAGTGATGTTTAAGTTCCCAGCAAAGATGTACTGCATTAGAAGTGTCTTCTCCAGCAACCTCTTACTATCCTCTCTTCTATCCTTTATCTTCTAGCTTATTAACTATCCTCTCCTTTCTTCTAAAGTTCTACTCTCTCTTCTATCCTCTCCTATCTTCTATCTTTTCCACTAGTCTTTCCTCTATCTTTTCCACCAGCTTCTTAACAATCTTCCCTTATCTTCTAATCCTCCACTATCCTCATGAATTGAGCATGCTGAAGCTAAAAAAAATTAAGATGGACTTGAGTATATAGTACTACCGGGTATATACCATAGACATAGAAGACAGTATTGTTCACTTGTGACCTTGAAAATCAATTCCAAACTAGGAAAATATAGGGGTTGTTGTAATTGTCAACTCGATCTGCATCAATTAATATTCAATTTACTTAAAATTAGATGTTGGATCCGCTCGCATACTAGCTACACTAACATCTAATAACATCCCATAGAGGCCGGGTTACATCAGAGGTCAAATTCTATCAACCAATCAAATTGTTGCCTGCAAAATCATCATATATTTGTTGAAGCGGATAAGTCCGAATTTGACCTCTGACATGACCCTGTCTGGGATGTTGTTAGATGTCACTATGTATAGTGAGTTTGCGAGCAGATCTAACATCTAATTTTAATTAGACTGTATCTGCAGGTACCTGTGCCATTCACATCTTCATTCTTGGTAATTTTGATACAACTTATTTGAAAAAGCATAAAATGAAATTTTTACATTGGCTATTTAATATTTTATATATTTTGGCACTCAAGTTTTTCTGCAACCCTACAGAAAAAGTCAGTTTATACTGTAAGATTAATCACGAGAAGTTAATGAACTTCCGAGGGATCAATCACGTAAACAATGTGCATACAGAAAAACTTGTTAACCAAAAGTTATTCCTTTAATCCTTTTGTAAGTATTTTGATGTGGATTAATGATATTCATAACAAAAATAAAAATTTTAACATTTGTGCAATTGATCCCAATTATTAACGGTAACCTGTTGAAATACAAATCAAAGAACAAGAAAACATTAACCTTGACATGTAGGTTGTGTAACAAGCCAGCCTGTACAATTTGCAACGTGATATTCATAAAAATTCAAATTATGGGACAGTTGGGAATCGGCTCACTGGGCACTAGATTTACCGACTGTCTTATACAAACGGTGACCATATTTTTTCTTGGCTTTTTCAAAATGAATTGTCTGTTAAACTGTAATGATACCGATTGAAATCCATGTTTTAAAACTTTTTAGCGACTCAATTTGCGTTCTTTAAAGGTGATTTTACCATTTTCTGTTGCATTTATTGTTTATTTGCATATATTCATGTTTATTCGTGGCAATGGCAAATGTCTGCAAAAACAAAACAAACAAACAATTTTCGTTAATGATGTAGACATTTCTTTTGAATTCTGGTTTTCTTATAAAAATGTTCTGCTTTTCATACCACCATTTCCTTACCTAAGCCTTTTAAATTCAGGTCTTCCTAAATCATAACCTTCAGCTTCGTCGAAAAACAGGAATAACCCATCGGAAGTTCTCGGACAGATCATACTTTTAATTAGTCTCGTTCAACCAGACGCTCGGCTGTCTCCGTGAACTCCGACCAGCAGAGAGTCTGGTAAAGAATCACGTAAGCGTTTGTAACCGTCAGAGGGCGCTATCTTGTTTTCATTTTAAAAATCCTTTTTGTAATCAAACGTTCAAGACGTTTCTTCTGCTTGATTGTGACTTTATATTAATAAATTGGTCTTTAATTAGGGATACCAAACGAGAAATTACAATATCAATCGAAGGAATGTTTATTACGCAGGTAGGGCTACACTACTTTCACTTTTGCTTTCGTACAGAATATTTGCAAGACATAATAAAACACGCTTACCTATAACTGAAGGGCATTATCGTAAACAATTCCTCTCTAACGGTTTTAACTTTTAGACATATAACTTTCACATCTTTAAGTTATTTTTCTGTTGATTTATCATGTATTTGTTTAAATCTTGTAGGTGTGTTCTTTTCAGCCAATCAAAAACTTTACCAGAATTTCGGTAAGCCTCGTTTTGGCGTCACAAACGATAATACGTATCTTTACCAGACCCTCTGGGTGGTCGGAGATTTACGGAGACAGCCGAGGGTCTGGTTGAACGAGACACAGGAGTTCGCGTACTTATCAATTTTGCCAAAATTTTCGGTAAATAAAAAAGATACGTAATACCTATAATAATAACACAAGGATTGCAACCGTTGTCCGCGACGCCATGACGTGACATCATGGGCGGTCTATTTACCCAAAAGGAACAAAAAAACAATCATACACAATTAACTAGAGACAACGATATTACATTTAGATACGAGTACAAGTACTTGTACCTCCCCGTTTTAAATTTTCTTGAATGTCTACTAACTTGTCTCTGGTTTCTTTTCACATATGACCTCAATCATCTAGATTAGCATTTCGGGCAGATTTGTTCCTTTTTGGGTAAATGGACGCGCCCGTGACGTCACGTCATGGCGTCGCGGACAACAGATATTTGAGCGAAGTTGTGGAGAAATGTCTCTGCTGCTGCTGTAAAACATGCGTTTGAAATTATATGCATTAAGAGCCATAAAGAATGGTCCCTTCCAAAAAGATTGGCTTGTGTTTTATAATTTTCGATTGAAGATTAATTGTGCGACAGCCTTGATATTAAGTGAGGGGTTCCTAGGTGACATAAAATGCGTTGCACTCCTTGTGTTATTATTATACGTATTACGTATTTTTTTATTTAATGAAAATTTCGGTATAATTGATGGGTACGCGAACTCCTGTGAACGAGACTAACTTTTAATGAGAACTAACTGAGGGCTCTCGAAAATAATTTAGATCAGAAAGATGTTTGAGTATAGGGAGTATAAGTTTACTAAGTAGAGATTTTAAAAGCGTCTAAATAACTGCGAAATTTGGCGGAAAATGATGGCAGCATCTGAAGAGAGTTGTAGTTTGACTTTTGCAGATACGTCTGCACAGAATTTAAAGGAAAGTAATGATGTTAATGAAGTGTATAGAGATGTTTCGAAGTGGACCCAGGTAGATTTGAATAAAATAGGAATCCACTACAGCGAATACGCCATTTCTCTTCGTCGGCTTGAGGAGCTTGCCAAAAAATCAAGTTGCACTCAAAATTCATCAGGAATAACACGGGTGCCAGCATGTTTGTCAACACTGGAAAACTTTTTGACAGATCATTTCAAATTATGTATTCCACATGATAATTTGAAGAGACACCTGCCGCGACAAAATGTGGTGGAATATTTACAATACATAAATGAAAGTCGTCAGAAATTGTGGGAGGATTTGTCAATGTTTGAAAAACAAACTAATTTGGGCGATGAAGAGAAACGGTAAGTTTAAACTGTTTTAAGCTCATTAAGTCTGTTTCAATTACAGACCTTAAATTTACATTGATTAAAGTCACGGACAACTAGCAACACGGCAACATTTTTCTTTTTTGAAAAAAAAATTGACATAACATATTTGTATATATGTATTACAAGTGTATGTCAAGCACCATGTATGGTATTGTTTCATACGACTTTAAAAATTTATTTTGCAGATTGTTGAATGTGTTGCATTTAAAAGTTCAGGATTACTTGTCCAGTCTGGGTAGATTCATGGTGGCACGAGGGGATGGTCCTGTCCCAGATATCACATACACACAGCTTGTCATGGATTTCCTGCGTATTTTCTTTCTGTTCCCTCAGTAAGTTAAAGTACGGAAAATGGCTGGGGTAGTCTTTACTTTACCGGTCCCCAGATCCGCAAGATCCTCATGCTCATTGGACTATGATGTAACATTTACGTCACTCAACTGATAGGGGTTAGTCTTCAACACTATTCGACTGATTAGGGTTAGTCTTGCACCCACCTGATATCCACATGGATAAGGGTTAGTCCTCGCACATTATTCTACTGATTAGGATAAGTCTACCATCTGCCCGGGAGATTTCGGCTAAACGTCTTAGTCCTTGCAAATCATCCGAAAGATAAGGGTTAGTGACTCCTTCTTTTAGAAAAATCAAGAAATTCAGATGCTGCTGTAGTTTTTGCAAGGTCATAATTCAGCTTCAACACCATTTTTTAAGTTTGTTTACAGGGAAAATGGCGCTTCATTGACAATTATTTTTTGTCGATTTTTTTCAATAAATATAAAACAATATTTATTAATTTCTTCAGAGAACAAGGTCTATTGTTATCACAAAACCTTAGTTGGACAGAATACATTGATAGCATTGTAAACAATGCTTATAAGAAACTTGGGCTTTTGAAAAAACTTTAAATTTAAAATCGGTAGGACACATCTTTCAAAATTGTATGTCACATTTATCAGACCCCTCGCTCGAATACGCTTCAATTGTTAAGGATGGCTGCTCTAATAATGATGCCGAAAAGCTTGAAAGAGTTCAATTATCTGCAGCTAGAATTGTTACAGGACTTCTAATTTTTGTGTCAAGAGAAATACTTTACTCTGAAACTGGCTGGGTAACATTGAAAGTTAGGCGCTATAATGCAAAAATGACCACGATGTACAAAATTCATAATGGTAGTGTACCTGAATATTTGAATGACATTGTTCCAAACAAGCGCGAAAACATTTCAAAATATAATACCCATAATAAGGAACAATACGCTGCCCCAAGATGCAGATTAGAATTATATAAAAGATCTTTTATTCCTGACGCTGTGAAACAGTGGAATTTATTGAAGACAGAAACAAGGGAAGCTATCTTACTCAATACGTTTCGAAAAAACTTAACTACAGAAGTAAAAAATCCCCCAATCTATTTTTCATTTGGCAAACATTATACAAATATAATCCATACTAAACTTAGACACAACTGTATACTTAATTATGATTTACACAAAAGAAATATTATTAATAGCCCTTTATGTTCATGTGGTTTATATCTCAATGTACTACATGTATTTTAATTGCATGACATATAGTTATATTTAAGGAGAGGAACTCGTAAGTTGAAAGAACTTGTTTCCAATCCTTTTGTTTATACAATAAAATGTGTTCAAAACAGAGAACAAGGTTAAAAACTTTGTTTAAAAACATAGCTTACCTTTAAACCAATCTTTTAACTGTAAAATTTGATTTTTGGGTTAAAAAGGCCAAAAATTCCGTACCTTTAATTTTCCTTTGATCGCTCACGCGATATCATATACACTGAAGTCACCTTCGGCGACACAACAATTTAGTGTGTTTTTCTTGGGATCGGTAAAGTCGTTCCAATGGCTTTCATCAGTGATTGTTTAAGTACAAGTTTCTTGTTTACACTCTCTGTTCATTACATGATGATGGCTTAGCCTAGACAGATTTTCTATTGTTTTGTTTAAAACTATTTTCACAGTCAGTTTTTATTTGTAACAATTTTCAGACTTGGAAAATCAAAGACCACACATATGAAAATTGGAAAGCAAGAGGTGGTTAGCGCCCCGGACCTTCGCTTTGAGGAATATCCTGGGCCGCAATTAATTACCTTGTTAAGGATGTCCAATGAGGTATACAATGTCCTGATTAAAGGCCAATTTCTAACCAATAAATCAAATTATAATACCCTGTCATTTTAACATAATTATCCAGATACCTGTTTTTCCCATTGTTGTTAAATATGGGGGAGAAAATGGGCAAAGATATCCATCAGTCTGAGAGCTTTCATTTAACAAGTTGATCCAATAATTTTCTATCAGAATTCTTACTATCTTATCTAAATTGTCAGCTATGTGTCTAAAAATCTAATAGGCATACTCTAGCAGTGTTGGATTACTGTAAATGTACTTTTTTCAGCATAGGATTATTAACACTTTGTAACAAAAACAATATATTGTAAAGGTAATGACTTATAAGTTATATAAACAATATTTTACAGGTCAGCATCTCCTGTGGGGAACCTGACTCCATTTCTAAAGAAGATTTCAGCATTCAGAGTTTGCCTGAACATATTCTGGGTCAGCACGGAGCAGATCTTATACTTGACATTGACAATTCTGTCTTCTATCCTGGCATACTGGGAATTATATGTCTGAGAACAAAGGTCTGTATTCACAATTACACAGCCTCAGAATATCCTCTGGTATCCCTGACAAACATCACAGAATGCAAATATAAGTTTACATGTAATAAATGACAATTATTCAGTGAACATGGCATTATGAATAGCAACATAGCTCTGCAGGCATATTTACCATGATGCACTAGCATGCATCATAAAATATGCCATCAGAGCAATTGCTGCTTATAACGCCATGCTCACTGAATAATGTTTTTTCTTTGAAATTTTCTGCAATCTAATATTTCAAAAGTTAACAACTGCCCTGTACATGTAAGTAAGTGTTTTACTGTAGCTCAGCCGCTCAAAGCTTTAAATTCCCATATTGACTTCCCTGAAAATGCTCTTGGATTGCAAGTTTTTCTTTCCACGAATTTCACTGAAAGTG